AGAACTCTCGAGATATTGTTATCTTTATTCGTCATTGCTATAGTTCGTCCTAAAGAGAACAATTAGGGAAAAAAATATATTCTCTCTCGCTTCAAAAACTACGTGAATGGTATTGAATACACATAATTTTCGAATTTGGGTGTGGGTGTGGGTACGGGTATCGGTGATGTTCTTCCTTTCTGCCCACCCACACCCACACCCTATTGTCTCAAAATTTATCATAAAATAAGACTTTTCACAGTAATAGGATGGAGGTAATTGTATGGCAGGGTTATTTGATTAAAGCGTACATACAGAAACGTATATTGTACTGAACTTCGAATTATTCAACTTTAACTAAAAGTTATACGTAAAGGTAGCGTTATTCTTCAGAGTTTTCAGAAAACACAAAAGTATACGAAAAGCTTAACAGATGCATTTTTATGATTTTTATGACGTTATTTATGTTAGTCAAACCCATGTATGTGAATCCAAATAACATGATTCCAGAAGCCTAGAGGCTTCTTCCGATATATTCAGGCGTATTCAAGCCATTTGCTTCGATTGCCTCTGTTGGCATATGGTTTTTTTCGAGCAACAGGACTGTACAAACCGACTTCAGGAACTCATCGACGAACAGTTGATTCAGAAATACCAACGTTGAAATAGGTCTGAAATTTAACTTGGGGTGTGAATGGAAGTGGATGGCTTTGGATATAGGTCATTGAAGAGAGAACACATAGCAACGATCACATCCACACCGATACTGACACTGACATCCGCACTCGTATCCAAGCCCACAGTCACAGTAAAACTCCACAACAGTTCAAACACCAACTCACACATTCACATTCACATTTCGAACCCATTCACGTTTCCGCATACGTCCAAGCAGATATGCGAGAAGTGCTATTTATCTTTAATTAGATGTCAAAATGGAATCAAAATTCAGTATATATTTTAGAGAATTTACGCAGTTGAGAAAAAGGATAAAATAATACTATGAATCAAGAATAAATGGAGGAGAAATTATAGAAGTCTCTTATATGAATAACGTTTAACTTCCACTTGCAGATCTTGCCGTAGGATTGGAAATTGTTTGTCGGCCCAAGTCTAGTCTTCGACTACTGTAAGACGTGGTACATCCGAGAGCTAATGAAAGTGGAACGCATCTGGGTTCTACACAGCATGTGTCAATCAGACATACTGAGGTTGATGGACATGTGGTACAATTTGTGTACGAGCTGCAGGCAAAGTCACCTAAGCACATACCTGTACTATTGGATGTTCTGAAACAATAACATGAAGAACTCGCTGAACAGTTATTGGAAATAAATCCACATTGTCCACCCGAACACGTCTCTAAACATAAGAGAAAAGCATTTCACTATTTCGATGAAAAAAGTTCATTTATTAGTGCAAACTATCAAGTATAGTGCAGTATTTTCTGTTGAAAACATCATCTTTAAATCGTTTCCGTACGATTTACGATGGTCATGAACCGATGCGAAGAGAAGAAGTAGCGATCTCGTTATGTCTTTTCTTTTGATTCACTTTTACGTATATATTCGGGGTGAATTCTTTGCAAAAGATTCAGGTTACAATTTCTGGAAAACTATCTGCGACTGAATTTAATTGCGGTATATTTCAAACATGTCCAGTAGGAATATCACCAATATGAAGCATGATCAGTTTTCAAGTTGGACAGGGGGGGGGGGTTGGGAAGCACGTAAAACAGCCCTAAATAAAAATCATCTCAGAACACGTTATAAAATTGAATTTCATCTTCCTCTAAGTAAGAATAAAGCATCTGGACCTCTTTCAGTCCATGTTTCAAGACCTCTTCTCGACATTTCTACCTAGGACAGAAGCGTTATCAATATCGGAATCCCCCTCACAGGTTAACCGCGCTAATTTACCAAAACAGTCTTATATTTTCAGGAAAGATAGAGCCTTTCAAGAGCTACAAAATGATCACAAATTGTTAAGGAAAATATGCTGCGCTCGACAATTTCCAAGGACTACACTGTTCAGGTTCTACAGCAAAACTCATTGATGGGATAGTATGGTCCGTAAGATCTTGAGTATCGCTTCTGATACCATTGTCATTTTTTCTGTGCAGATAGAACTTTTGAAAAGCTACAAAAGGATTACAAAATGTTAAGGAAAATATGCTGCACTCGAAAATTTCTAAGAACCATACTGTCCAGGTTCTACTGGAAAACTCATTGTTGGGATAGTATGGTCCGTAGGATCTTGAGTATTGCTCCTGATACCATCGTCATTCATTTCGTGCAGATAGAACTTTTCAAGGCCTTCAAAATGATAATAAATTGTGAAGTAAAATATGGTGTGCTCGAGAATTTCCATGGATCACACCATACAGGTTCTACAGGAAAACTCATTGATGGGATACTATGGTCCGTAGGATCTTGAGTATCGCTCCTGATACCATCCTCATTTTTTCTGTGCAGATAGAGTTTTTCAAGACCTTCAAAATGATCACAAATTGTGAAGTAAAATATGCTGCGCTCGAAAATTTCCAAGGACCACACTGTTTAGGTTGTACAGGAAAACTCCTTGTTGGGATAGTATGGTCCGTAAGATCTTGAGTATCGCTTCTGATACCATCGTCATTTTTTCTGTGGAGATAGAACTTTTGAAAAGCTACAAAAGGATTACAAAATGTAAAGGAAAATATGCTGCACTTGAAAATTTCCAAGGACCACACTGTTCAAGTTCTACAGGAAAACTCATTGTTGGGATAGTGTGGTCCGTACGATCCTAAGTATCGCTCCTGATACCATCGTCATTTTTTGTATTCAGATAGAGCTTTACAAGACCTTCAAGATGAACATAAAATGTAAAGAAAAATATGCTGCACTCGAGAATTTCGAAGGACCACACTATCCGGATTCTATAGAAAGACCATTGTTAGGATAGTACGCTCCAGACGATCTCGAGTATCAGTCCTGATACCGTCGCGATTTTTTCGGTGTGGATAGAGATTTTCAAGACGTACACAGTGATCATAAATGTAAAGGGAAATTTACCGTCCTCGAAAAAAATCACGGACGACACTATTGAATCGTTGTGAGAAAACGAATTGTCGAAAGAATATGACGAACGGATTTTGAAACTCCGATCATAGAATGGTTGTGAATATTGGAGTAAGTGATAGAACGTATTATAGGTAAGAAGCCGTTATGCATGTGGAACGAAGCAAGGCTTAAGCAATGTATGGAGGATGATTGGTATGCAGTAATGGAAGAGTCATTTTAGGAGTTGAGAGGAAGGGTAGTAAACACGCAGAGATTCATATAGAAGATGTAGTATACAGAGAGTTTGAGGTGGAGGTGGCTATATAGCGAAGGAGAATGATGAAAAATGTTGGCTAGATTGGGATTTAGACATGATACGAGATCAGAGAGAGAAGAGAGAATATGTTTCGTGGAGAGTGATTTAGATAGAGGTTAAGAGATGGCGCGACAGGTGCGAAGAAAACGTTTTCCTTGGAGAGTGATTCGGAGCGTAGATGTTTCATACAGAGAGACATATGAAGAAGAAATTTTTAAAGAGGAGCATTTGTTAGATTTATTTTACTGATAGCGGTGATAAAATATAAAAGCGAGGGGTTACATGAATTCTTATTCCTTTTCGCATAAAGGCAATGCGTACAAGTCATATATATCTATCATTGTTATGGTGGTTGCGTAAGTGTGAGCAGCGGACTTCCTCTAACTGCAAAATGCATCCGACTTTTCTTCATTAACGGTTTGTTTCCAACGTCTCCGCCGATGGATGCCTACATTTGTACAACTAACCACCATACGGAGGTCATATTTTTCAGCAATGTTATAGAGGGAAGTATAAATCATACCTCCAAAAACATATCATCGACCACACTATACTGACCGTCGATTACTCCCAACATTGCCGATACTGTGCGCCTTGAGATTTTCTGGCCGCCCCATTGCTGCCTAACGCTTTATTACGATTTCGTAGCTCTTAAACCGCTCTATCTCCACAGAAAAAACGGCAATGGCATCAAGATCCACAGTCAAGATCGCAAGAACAATACTATCAAGTCCACTGGTTTTCCTATAGACCCCGGACAGAGTGGTCCTCGAAAATTCTCAAGCGCACCGCATTTTCCTTTACATTTCCTGATCATTGTGTACGTCTTGAAAAGCTGTGTCGGCACAGAAAAAATGACTATCGTATCAGGAGCGATCATCAAGATCCTACGGACCATACTATCACAACAATGGATTTTCGTGTAGAACCTGGACAGTGTGGTCCTTGGAAATTTTCGAGCGCAGCATATTTTCCTTAACATTTTGTGATCATTTTGAAGGTCTTGAAAAGTTCTATCTGCACAGAAAAAATGACGATGGCATCAGGAGCGATACTTAGGATCGTACGGACTATACTATCCCAACAATGAGTTTTGCTGTAGAACCTGGACAGTGTGGTCCTTGGAAATTGTCGAGCGCAGCATATTTTCCTTAACAATTTGTGATCATTTTGTAGCTCTTGAAAGGCTCTATCTTCCCTGAAAATATGAGACTGTTTTGGTAAATTAACGCGGTTAACCTGTGAGGGGGATTCCGATATTGATAATGCTTCTGTCCTAGGTAGAAATGTCGAGAAGAGGTCTTGAAACATGGACTGAAAGAGGTCCAGATGCTTTATTCTTACTTAAAGGAGGATGAAACTCAATTTTATAACGTGTTCTGAGATGATTTTTATTTAGGGCCGTTTTACGTGCAAACTCGCCCCCTCCTTGAAGAAAATGCTGCCTTTTTTTATATAGTCGATCTGAGTAGGCATGCACCAGTTCCAGTCGCAAGACTGGTAATAGTCACCACTGTAAGTCAGTCGCGACTAGCTTACAGTTATAACTATTACCAAATCGACTTGTCCGCCAGTCCCATTGGTACCAATCAAACAGATGTCAAAGTCCAACTGGAACATAGTCCATCTGTACGGGGGCATGCCTAGTCCTTGAGACACTAATTTCAAGTTTTGTAAAGAAAACCGAGTGATTCATTCTTACTAGTTCTTGTAGAAGTTGTTGTAGAAGCCCTTGTTGTCGTTCGTATTGTAGTAGAACTTGCTATAATCAAACGGAATAGAACATGTAGATCTTCTCAAGACAAAGTTGAAACTCCTTACTTCTAGTAGTTATTGTTGTACTAGTAGGACGAGCTGAGGGAGGACATATTTGAATATTAGCTAATGCCATTGGATAACAGACAGGTTGTTGACATCGTGTATTGTTAACACAAATTGTTTGTGCGATCGAACATGTAACATTGTCTGAATTACATCGAACCATTGAAGTGCAGGAAAGATCAGCAACAGCACAAATGCCTGAGCTAGTTGTATTAACTCGATTGGTCAATGAAAAACATTCACAATCGAGATTTGAAGAACAGGGCAAAGATGACGATTTACAAAGAGTTGAATTGCATGTCGCCAAGGCCAAACTGGGTGATGGTGTTGTTGATTGAGCTATGACACGACACGGATCAGAAAGTAGAAACATTTCTTCAAAAAAGCAATGTAACACCTTACCTGTAGTTTGAAGTGGACCATGGCATAGACTTCAAAAGAAAATTAAAGAAATTTTCTAGCTAAATTCTATTGAAACACACTAATCACTCACCTTGCCGTCAACAGAACATATATGAAAAACATTAGAAGTAATTGAATTTCTTTCGTCTTCTTTGTGTGTATCAATTTTAATTTACTTTCTTATTATTTTCGTTCAATGTTCTGTTATATAGACTGAAGTCTCTTGCACAATTTGCCTGTAATAAAAATTGTCTTCGAATCCTATTTTCAACTATTTATCAAAAAATATAAAACACTGAGATTTTGTTTCTTTTGTGACCAACAACATCAAAATCAACAACAAAAAAAACAGAGTTTCACTTTAGTATGGGTATTCTACCCATGGAAGAGAGCACTTCCTAAAAATAACATGCAATCAATAAATACCATTTTCGAAAGCATGTGAATTTTCGCAGTGAATTATTTTAGTTTCCCATGAAAGTCTTTCTGACAACCTTGAGCAAATGCTTCAACATGAAACAACCTCATTTAGATTCATGTAGAGCAGCACTTAGAATAAGAATCTTACAACAGCTGCTTGTAGATGGATTTATCCTGGAAATTTTTTCTTAGTTTTATAACTCAAAGGAGTCAATAACATATCTTATCAGAGGCTAGATAGAAGAAGAGAAACATCTACATTTTATGATACTTCTCTTGTGTACTTTCTACGAAGTTGAAAAAGAAGAATGAAAATTGTATAATTAGCAGAATTTGTGTGATATCACAATAGTGACATTTATCTATTTTGCTAACAATTTGCAGTTTTCCAAAGACTTCAAAATTTTTCACTTTTGAAAACGTGATGGTCTATTTCGCAGTTCTTTCCGGGAGAAGTAAACGATATCCATTTATATCATATATGAGTGAAGAGTACGGCCACGATATCGTTGTATCCCGCGAAGAAAAATGGCTAAAAATTGAGTGCTACTTAACCATTTGTAAAACTTGTTTTCTTTTACTCATTTAGAGACGGCCATTCACTTCTGAAAAAAATCGATTTTTCATTTGTTTTATTTCGCGAGAAAGCATAGCAACAGTGCCAAATATCTACCTTATAAGACCGCCTAGTGGAGGAAGATCAATTTTTCTTTATGCCATTGAAACTGTTTTTAACTTATTTTTTAGTTAGATTTGTAGAGCTTGCTGAGAGTTTTCGGAATATATTAAATTTTTTTTGCTGTAGACAATGGTTTATGAATGAAATGTTATTGACAATGTGCATTAGGGCAGTTCTAATTTTTGTGTAGAGTGATATTGAAGCCATTGATATTTCGTTGAAAGAAATTTCATTTGTGCAAATTTGATCGGATATCAAATACGAATAGAAGAAAAACATTTTGACAAGTAAAAGAAGTTTGTTTCATAAACTTAGGTAATACAAAAATTTTATGCGAAGTTAAAGAAAAACTATATTCAGGCTGAAGGTAGAGCAACTTTTAAAATTTTGTGATTGTTATAACTCAATGGAAACTAAACCGCTTGCAAAAAAATTTGACCCTTTTTTCATCTCATATAACAAAGTAATATCCCAAAAAGTCATACAAAAATCTTTCTCTATGCAAGAGAAAGTTCAGTTTTATTAAAAAAGTGTAGAGCGATATTAGAAATTGATTAAAATCATGGGCACTTGGTTTGAAGACGTTTCATTTGAATAAATTTAATTAGATATCCAAGAGAAACAGGTAGAAAGTAATCTCAAAAGTGAAAGAGATTTCTTTCATGAATTTTGACATTAAGTTTTCAATCTATTCCTATAAAACACGAACACTGGTAAATGTGATTATGAACATGATGGAAAATTGCAATCACCAGCGAACTATTGAACGTTCCTGACTGGAGAAGGAATGGGAAAGCATTCAGTCCTCAGCGTCATACACTTGCCGTGTTTAGCAAGACGAATTTCGCCCAGTTCTGTCGAACTGTGTATGAATAACAAATATTTTCTTCAAAAGTGTTGTATTAAAGCAAAACCATTTTCGCTGTGCTACCTCAGCTTTTCATGAATCTCTATCAGATCATAGGGAAGCATCGGGAAAATATTACTTTCATACGCATTCGATGCCGTTCTATCGAATACAACACTTAGTTTTTTTACCATCAAATTTCTTATTTTTTTTGATTTTTTCCTCGAACTATCCTATAGCGGTGCTCTTTACTCATATATAAGGTGGAAGTTGCCGTAAATGGATAGTCCGGCTAGTCTTTGGAGTAACGAGTCATAGTAGAACGCAATCTTCTAACACCGCGTAGATTTGGATATACTGTTAGTTGGATATATGAAGACTACTCCTGCAATCAGTAACTGTTTACATGAATTAATGTTTATATCTAAGATAGCGCTCACTTGTATTAGGTGTATCAATAGCGATTGTACGATAAGGACGATTAATCCTGCTTAATCGATATCACGGATTTCCATGAAACTTTTCCAGTATGTAGCTTCGAGTGAGATATGAAGACGCCTAACATCTCAGCTTGCAAAACCATTCCCTTGTTGGCATATTCAAACTACAACAGAGGCTCTATCTAGCATTATAATTCAGATGCTTGTTCTCAATGACTTTCCGACCAGTTCTTAGTCCAAAGCCACGAGTTCCGGCCTGACATTTACGGGATTTACCGGAATGGGAAACAAGAAGAATCGAATATCCGTATTCAGCGAGCGATTGTGTTCAATACTGGCAGATAATGAAATAAATCGGCCATCGAATCCCGGTATTATATTCTTGTGTCTATGATTCGTCACTTTTCATATTTTTTTCAGCTGAAATCAGCCATACATCACTCGTCTGTGTATAAATCACATTCCTCTGAATTGTAAAATATCATTTTCCGTTAATAAATGTCAGTGTTTTTGTTTAGAAGACATCTTATTAGGGTGCATCCATGAGATATCGTCAGTCGATGCAACGATCACGTCCAAATCCAGTGAAACTCTCAAGGTTTGCAGAACTCATTATCCTGGTCATTTTGTTTATAAATTTTTTTAAGGACCCATCCTATTTTCATAAAGATTTATGTCAACTACTAACAGTGCATTTTGTATAAAACTAGGGATGTAATAATACCAATACCGTTGGGTATTGGTAGTTTGCTAAGAAAAATCAGAAATTTTTGAAAAACCAACTATAGATTCTTGATCTTTTCGTCAAACTACGAAGATAACTATCAAGATTCCAATACCGTATTGATATTGTTATATCCCTATATAAAATGCATTATTTTGCAAAAATCAGAAAGCCTGTATCTTTATCAAAAAAATAGGTAATTGTCCATTATAATCTACTCAAATTAGAATATCAATAACATATTCAGAAACCTCGTGAAAAACGGCGTCAGAATCCTTACAATTCTGGAAAATTTCCGAACTGACTATACCACCATCCAAACGTATT